GATTCATGACATACCAAGGATCGATGAATCACAGACAAGGTGCATTTTTTTGTTTCGGTACAATATATCGCATATCATTTCGAAATATAACATCTCAGCCGAACTCAAATCCTGGCTTGACTATCTAAGCTAACGTCCCCGCTCGATTGAATTCATAGTTTTGCAGCTTTATTGGTCGGGAAGTATACCCTTTTGCTCGAAAGCTGTGCGAGTTCCGCCGGGATAAAACGTTAAAAATGGATTACAATGTCATCATTTATGAATGAAGTTATTAATACATCGCTAAGGCCCTGTGATGAGTCATATAAGTTCTTAATCATGCTGGAAAGCGGCAAATGGGAGACATGTGTCAAAGAAAGAACCGTATGTTTGCAAAATGTTCCGAAAGAAGTGTTCACTTCTCAACGAGTCAATGATTACTCCCCACACAAATTACAGATAATCAAACTGTGATCAGATTACATTTTTTACACCTACCTTACGCTCACTGGTCTACAAAACGTGTGGCGATATTGATACATGAAAACACGTGGTATGCATTTGTTATTTGTAATGATGCTCGCAGGATAACGTATACTCACTAAATCGATTTTTAGATCTTTAAGATAATCTAAATTGGTTTGTGGTAACATGTCATTATATATTCATAATTCACGACACATATGAAGTCCCTCCATGAGTTCCAGCATTTGGAACACCATCTGTTCTCCTTTGCTGGTTTTGAATACCCGCCGCTTTCTCCTCTAGGCTTATTTTTCGAACCTTCGACGAGCATAGTGGATTACTTAATATTCATTGGAATTTGACTGCCATGTCAGACGCCACCGTTTCACTTGGCGAAGAAAACATCGCTATCAGAAGGCCACTGGTATGTTCGTAAAATTAGAACATATTTTTTATTTGTGTACATACGCCAAATAAGTACGTATACCGCTCACACATGAACGAATAACAAAGTTGTTGTGTAATAAAGTGAAAAGTTAAAAATAATAAAATTATAGACCATATGGGTGCGTCTAACGCGGTCCTTACAATGGCTTATCGGTGTATATCTTCGTTTTCAGATCGGCGTTTCGTTGTGTGATCTTCCAAGCTGTGCGTGCATACCGAAAGATGGCGAGTGTTATTTTACAGACTATGCCGTGGAACTCGATGGAAACTTGCTGGGCATACCAACTGAAGAACATGATGAAAACAAAGAACATGATTATTTATTTACAATCACAATAACAAACAATGCCATGCTCACGACGACAAGATCGACCCAGATACGGTTGATTCAGAAAAGCATTATTAATACCGAACAGGATATGGTAATTTTACGCATAAATTAAGCAAGTCTGACACTTGCACAGTTATGTGGCACGCATTGTCGTGCCAGTACGCAAACTAGTCGTAAACTGGCGTGAAGTGTGCGTAAAGCAAGGCTGACACTTGCACGACTTTTGGCCACGATTTTGTCGTGCCAGGTCGTGCCATTTTTGGGCACGGACTGGGAGGCTCCCGCACTAGTTCACGACTAGTTCACGCATAGTTTACGACGAGTTCACGAATGCGTGCCCATCAGTGTCCACATTGACACGACCTGGCACGACCTGGCACGATCTGGCACGACGAGTTCACGCATAGTTTGCGCATAGTTTACGCACTTCCCGCATTGGCACGACGAGTGACAGTGGACATGCCATTTAAAAAGGGGCCACCCCAACCCCTGCTCATTTTTGGATTGGCTTTGTTTTAGGCATGTTGTCTCTGTGATATAAATCGTGCAAGTGTCAACCTTGCTTCAATTGTCATCAAGGGGTCGACGTCGGTCGAGCGGATATATCTGACGCACCCCGTCCTAGTTTATGTGCATATGCATGTATTGTGTGTGCTCTGTGGCCATTATTCATTTACACGCTTTATCCCAAATTTATTTTAATGAAACGATACAACTATATATTATCAGACCAGTTCATATGCTTTGATAATTTCACGTGGATGCAATACTTATGCCTTAATCGATATTTTTAGGTAATAGATTGTATATGGAACTTCTCTTGACAACTACTAACCGGATATTTGACAGCAACCGGGCACAGCATTTTCAATGGCTGTTGAACAGCCGTTTATGTTGATTATATTTACACACTGTGTTAAGCTTTTTAAGCACTTTCACTTATTATTTGCTTCAGATTACGGTAAATGCAAGTGCACTCTTTGTTGGTCCGCTGATTACAACACCCGACTACATAGGTGAGGAAATCTCATGAAATTATCACATGCTTAATAGAATATGTGTTATTGGAAAGCGGAATAGAGCACTTTAGTAATCGTAAATTCGTGATTTGAAACACATTGGGAGATGGGTTCCTGACGAAAGCTGATACTGTTGGTAGATAGTGGGTAAAATACTACAGTAAACAGCATGTGTATAACAGTACACGATGACTTACCGGTGTCGGTATTTTCTAAAATAACATTGTTATATCCATTTTCTTCGATTTTGCAGACACCAATCTTCGCACACAAAACGATATTTTGTTACCATCTGCAAGTGGTACAGGGACTGCCTTGGTTGTTATAGTGGTTACTATTATAGTTGTAGTAGTCTTATGTCGTAGAAAGAAGGCAAGTAAAGAAACAGAAAGAGACAACATTGAGAACGCACCATCAACAAACCAACTAAACAATACCGGGATGGATGAACCCATAAATGGTATTGTTGGCAACGAGTACACTGATATCACAGAGAATGACCAGCATTACATGACAATTATTAAGAATGACGTCAAAGTGAATGAATACGAATCCATTGTTGGCGGTAAACAGCACTACGCTGATGTCAATAAAAACGACATCCAGAAGAATGTCTACGAAACTCCTACCAATGTAAAGAATAACGAGTATGAATTAGTACGATACTGAGTTGATATCCTAGGGTATATAACCATTATAAATGCAACATGACAATCATATGTAGACAAGAATGTATAATTTTTAATGGCTACAACGTGTATGCGCATAATTAAAATTTTTAGAAATCAACCGGATGGGATATGATGTATCAACATTCTTAATTTACAGCTAAAATGGCATAAATATTATAATGAGATGTAATATACAGACTATGCAACCCTTTTTTGTATACTCGACTTTCCAATCATTCTTTACCACTATTTATCGATTAAGCACTTAAAATGAAGAACAAGTTGTTTAGCTTCATGTGTTTGTAATTTACGTAGTTACTATTAGTAATCGAAACATTTGTTTCGAAGTTATTAACTTTAACATTTACGTTACTGATGTACAGCATTTCTCAACAAATAACAAAGTGTTGTTGTAATTAGTGTCTGAGGCTTGACATGTATGGTTTAACCACAATATGATAGCAACTGGATTATTATATACAGATATATGTGTTCTCTGTTTTAAGTTGTGAAATACGCTTAAATAAATATACTCTCTTCAATTTTCAAGAAATATACTCTAGTCCTTTAAATTTCCATACATCCATATTGTTTGAATTGATAATATTACATGTGATTGCCAGCGAGGATAAGTTAATGCATACTATTAGTGATACACACTTGTGATCTTTGCAACTGTATGCAGACGTGCACCACGCTCAGCTACAGTAACTGACACATAAAAGGTATGGGCTAAATTGTGTGTAATCTATAAGCAGTTACAAGCTGGGACAAACATTAACAAATTATTAGCTTTCACTTCAGTAGATTTCCCAGCAACAAAGAAAGAGAGGGATATGTTTTTTCTATTTAGTCTATTCGATAGGACCTTGCTGCAATTCATGATAGTTCATAGGGATGTAGCCGAATGGCCAGTGGTGAGTCTACATGGTCATGTTCGGTCTCTGCCAGCAGTGCATATACCCCACATTGGTTGATTGGTTGCTGAACCAGACTCAATATGGTACATGGTTAGTCTTGAAAGGAGAGGGCAGACATGCATGTGGTATGTATCTAGACCATGTGCTTGATCATACTGTCATCGCCGCCGACTATTAAACTTGTATCTAGGGCAATAATTGTCGCTAGTTTTCAAGTGACCTGGGACACAGACTCCATGCTTGAACACACTTCTGTCCCTTGAATCACCGCAGATGAGCATTCTATCAACATCATACATGGCCCAGTGAAAGAAGTCACACATTTTAATTCTCACCTATATATAGTGCAATAGGCCATTTCCAGTTCACTGCGAGATCCCACTTTATGCGTGAAAGCGAATGTAAAAACAGGACAAACAAAGGTGATAGCGTCGTAGTGGCGACGAACATCGCGTAGGATTTGACAAACGCGAAATTATTTTAGGGGGGTATTTGCATGCTTAATAATGTGCTGTACGCATTTGATTATGACAAATCTCGATGAAGTAAGGATATTCAAACGGAATACTTCCCTTTCAAAGATCGGCCGTTCGATGTGAGTTACGAAATATAGAAGTTCGAAATCAAATTGTTCGATTTTTGCGGCAGACGTTCGGCGCGCGTCTTTCATGTGATTCGCCAGATCTCGCAATTATGCG